GCCATTACCAATATGATGTACGTCCACTGCATCATGGAAGGGCTTAACACCCATGTTTTGCCATGAGAGTGTTTGATCTGCGGTTTCCAGGTTAGTTTGGAGTCTAGTATTACCCCACAAGTATTTGACTTCCCCCGACAGTTGTAACTGTTTTTCCAGAATGTGTAGAGGTCCACGCCCTTCTTCCTTCTGGTGAAAGCAACTATGTCTTAGAGGGACTTCCTTGCTCTGGAGGCTATTTTTTTCCTTTATTCAATGTCGTACTTGGTTAATTAACAACAGAAGTAATGTAACAATCTGTATGATCCCCCTCTCAAAAAAGGCGTAAAAGTTCATAGAAAGGCCTGAACAAACTATTGATGAGCACCATTCTCTGTCCAGAGTTCAATGCAAATCAAAGATACTTAAATTCTGTAGACTTGACTCTAGACGGTCCACTTACGAACTATAGGCTTATCCAAGAGATGCCCGGTGGTACTGACTTGAGTGGTCGACATGGGGAATACTGAACCGTATTAGAACAGACATACCCCCAGTAAAAGTTAGCCAAATGATAACAATCAACAATTCTTTGAAAATGGGGGTACGGATGGGGGTTTGCTAGACACGTGTAATCTGATTGAAAATATAAGTTTATTCACAAGAGCCGGATCCAGTGGGACATTTTGAGGTGGGAGGACTTCTGGGAGCGAATGTTCTTGTGGTCGTGTGACCTGCGTATTTACCTTTACACGGTAATCGTACATCTAGCAACACAGTGTCAAAAGTGTTAGGATGGAATGTGGTTGATATAGACGCGATTGTGCTTAAAGCACAGAACTTTCCGTTCCGATAGTAGTTGAAAAATTTCTGAGGATGATTTCTTAAATCTCGATACTTTTTATGAAAGAGGATGGACCCAATATTTGCGAAATTTTTTATAACTGTTTTTAACCGTCGTGCGCTTTGGTGGTTTACCGCTTGCGGGAAAAAACCGTAGTGCGGTCTAAGCCCTATAAAGAGATTACGTCGGTACCTATTTTTTCCCAGTAAATAATTCGCTCACGAATAGCAAGGTTAGCGCTCTCATTGACACTTAATTTCAATCCCCGAATATTATAGAACAAAACTGCTAGTACTCTTCTATTAGAGGGAGTTTAGAACAGTTAATTTGAAGCTTTACGTCCCTTACTAAGAATATTCCCTTTTTAGAACTGCATAATTCCTTCGACATGTTGACTGAAGGCAAACAGTGCGTTTAATAATACAGGGTGTAAAGGTTATGGTAGCCATTATTGAAATGGATAATAGGAGGGGTCAAAACAGGTCAAAAAGTTCATATGACCCATGGTCCAAAAGTCAATAGATTTTTGTCTAAATGGCTTTATAGTTTACAACTTTAAGTGCTTTATATCGACCACAATCACGACAATCTTTCTAATTTTTATAATCTAATCTAAAACGTTTTTAAATTGGGTAATTAACAAATAAATGGCGTTAAGTTTTCTAAGTTAAGCCAAAATTTGTAGTCAGTAAGTAAGTAAGTTTCATTAAATTTAATATTTAAAACACACATGGAAACAGCGCGTCGGTCTTTCATCGCTCTTATCGAACCGGCAATCGATCGCAAACGGTAAGAGTGGTTAGTTATCGTTTTGCATAGATAAACTACTTCGGGCGTGTTGTTTTGTTTTTGTTCGCGTAAGTCGTCGTGTCTATTTACAATGTTCTTCAATCCAGAGTTCGCCGACATGTTGTTAGTTTACGGTGAATCTCGTCAGAATTCAAATCTTGCAGCTCAAAATTATCGCGAGAGATTTCGCCAACGGATACACCCAAACAGAAGGACATTTGTGCAAGTGTACCAAAGACTTCCAGATACAGGAAGTGTTCAGCCCACTAACATTCGCACTCGTGAAAGACAGGTTATTGTAGAGCAGGAGGAACAAATTTTAAATATCGTGGAAATCAATGCAGATATCAGCGCTCGGGAATTAGGCCGCCGCGTAGGACTATCGCATACCATATTCCATAGAATCCTACGGGAAAATTTGCTTTATCCCTACCATAAATAACGAGTGCAGGTCCTGTTACCTGAAGACTATCCTCGCAGACCAACATTCTGTCAGTGATTTTTGCACATACATATTGAAAATTCGGATTTTTTAAAAACATTCTAGCGACGGACGAATGTACTTTTACGCGAGACGGGATATTAAATTTCCATAATACTCACACGTGAACCCATGAAAATCCTCATACGATCCGTGAAGGTCATTTCCAACAACGTTTTAAAATAAATATTTGGGCGGGTATTCTTGACGATCAGGTAATTGGCTCTTTCGAGTTAACCCCAAAGCTGTCAGGAGAGGGATACCTTAGCTTTCTAGCCAATAACCTACCAGAACTTGTGAAACAGACCTTAGACAATATGCCATTACAACGGAGACAGAATTTGTGGTTTCTTCATGACGGGGCACCACCACACATTTTTAGAGGCGTCAAATCGCTCGATCGGTCGAAATGCTCCTGATCCTCGAAGATGGCCAGCAAGATCTCCTGACCTCAATCCGATGGATTTCTGGTATTGGAGAGAACATAAAGGGATGGTTTATGGAGCTGGTCCAATTACAACTGAATCACAACTTCGCCAAAAAGATTTTAATGCGTCTGAAATAATAAATGGACAACTTCGAGGACCTAGAGTAAGAAGAAACTGGGTTCGTCGTAATGAAGCTTGTGTGGAAAGTGGAGGACGACATTTTGAACACCTTCTTTAGATACAAAAGAAGTGCAGTGTGGGTTTTAAAAAGAAAAACCATGTATGTATCAAAATTGTGTTCCCTATTTATAAGTGGATTTTTTTAATACGTTCAATAAACTTTCACACACCTGGTGAAGCGCTGAGAAAGTTAGTGGTAAGTCCGTTTTTTTAATTTTTTGCATTTTACGAGTACATTATCAAATAATGAAATAATACCTAAGAGCCAAAAACAACAAACTCCATCTTTATTTACACTGCGTTCCGTCGTAATTTGCGTCTGGCATTGCGGCGTTGTCAGATTTTATTTTACTTTTCTCTAAAAAAATGCCGTTTTGACCCCCGTGTTATATGAAACTTTTTACTTCTTTTAACCCCCTCTATCACATATTTAAATAATGACTATCATAACGTTTACACCCTGTATAACAAATGAGCACTGCAGTACGTTAGCTAGGGCGCGCCTGATATGTAAGTTTTGACATATTCCAACGCACCTCAGCACGGTTTTCCCTGGTTCTAGGCACATAAAACTTCATTTACAATTGTTTTGACATTGTTCAAGCAAAATTACAGGGTATGCGTTTGAAAAAATAAACTTTATTTTTTTAGGGACACCATAATGGCCACCATTAACTTTGTTTCTCTTATTCGGTTACAGATAACAAATAAGTTCTGAAAGCACCTTCCAGAACTTACTAAAAAAAGCTATACATACCTCTCCTGGGCTGTTGTATAAGACCCTATAGCGAGGCGCACTCCACGAAGGTGCTAAACTCTTGGACTATCATTACCTGATTATCTTCTCCACATGCTAATGTGGTCTGGTTAGCATGCTCGGATTAGCCTGCTTCAATGTGAATTGCTCGCTATTATGCCTCTATCAACACGATCTGTTTATTTTTAAAATGATAATATATGCAGAAGAGAATGAGAGTTTGTCCATTACCTTTTGTGTTGTGGTAGCGTGTATGCAAAAAATGCAGCGAGTTATTGTGTTTATGATTTGTTGTGCACAATGCCTCGGCCCTGCATTAGTTCAAGGCCTGCTTTGTTGTGTTTTACAAACTCGGGCGCCCATTACGCAATAATCGGTTAAAATTAACAAGCAGGTTCTGGGTACCAGATACTACTCGTATACCCCATTCGTAGTCCATTTACTCCCAGACAAAATACAACATGCCCAAAAGATTGTACAGGTCCGTATTTTCCTCAAAGATCTTGGAATAACCTAACAAAATAAATGATTATTTTTATAGAAAGAAGTGCATATACTTTTCACAATTCTTTATTCGCTGGAAGTACTTGAGTCATCGTCAGAATGGTTAATATTAGATAATTATTACAGGTTCAATTTGAATATCGATCATATTGTCCAGATCCCAAATCTTTATTTCGATTCTGTCTTGAACGAGTCGGATGCAATCTTTCCAATAGTTTGCCGTCACTCAGCTTAGCTTCATAAAACAAATTTTTCACGTCAGAAAATTTTTGTTGAAACTAATGTCTTCTGATACGAGCTATTGTTGAATTTCTGCCTTTCTTGTGGACATTGTGGACATTTTTTATAGTTTTCTAGAGCGGTATGCAGCATTATCAAGAACAATGACGGCATTGTCGTCAAGCTTTGGGAGCGTTTCTTCAAACCATCGTTCAAATGAACTATCGTCCATTTTTTTATCGTAGTCGTTCGTTCTCTTTGACTCAAATGGCAATAGGGTAGTGGGCACAAATCCATCACTGCAAATGCGACAGATAACAAATCGTTTTCCTTTTCCTAGAAATAATTATTTGATAGCTATAGTAATCAAGAAAACTAATAATAATACAAACAGAGTATCTAACAGGTGTTGGTTCCAAATCTACCAGATATAGCTACGTTTAGTGTAGCTAAGTTTTCAGCGTGGGCTCATAGATTCAGTCTAGATTTAGGACTACGAATAGGGTATACAGTTAAACGTATTCTACCAGAAGATAGCCAGCCATTTGCTGTATTCCCGCGTCCAAAAAATACACGAGATGAAATGGGATAACGTGGCGGCATCTACGAGGGATGTCTTTTAAGTTTTGCATATGGAAATAAAACAACAAGGTAGGTAGTTTTAAATGACTTTACTGTTTTTCGAAATATTCTCCACGAAGATTAATACACATCTGCATGCGCTCAAACAAATTTTCGAAGCAGTTATTCCACTCGTTTGCTGACAGATCCAAAGCGGCATTTTTGAATGCGTCAACTGCTTCTTCAGGTGACTTTAACCTTTGACCACCCAGTCTGTTTTTAATTTTCGGGAAAGTAAAGAAATCGTTAGGACTTAGATCGGGACTATATGGAGGATGGTCCAATGATTCCACGTTGTTAAATACTGCCTTGTTTTTTGGGCTGTGTGCGAGCTTGCATTGCCTTGGTGGAGGATGATTCTTCTTTCGGCGTTGATTTTTTTTGAATTGAGGTCTTTGAGATCTTCAAGGACGCCTCAATCTCGCGATATGTCACATGTCTATCTTCAATGATGAGTTTGCGCACAGCAGCGACGTTTTCCTGGGTGACTTCGGTTTTTGGTGCACCCACCCTGGAATGGTCGCTAAGACCCACCCGTCCACGTTTGACTTCTCCATACCAACGGGAAATTGTCGACTGATGTGGCGCTTCGTTGGCGAAAACAGACAGTAACTCAGCAAGGCATTCTTGTTGCGATAATTGTCTCTGAAAGTTGTAATAAATTATAGCGCGTAAATGTTCTCGGTTGATTTCTATTTTTCTAATGACTTGGTGACACTTAAAAATTAACTGTACAGACAACACTGCACGTATTGTTGTGAAACTTTGAATTTTACTAAAGAGTGAGGTTAAGATTCAGTACTGACGTTCGATCCGCGCGGCCTACTATGTTTCTATATGCAAAACTTAAAAGACATCCCTCGTACATATGAGAATTTAGACATCTACTTTGATGAGGTTAGTATCTCGTATAGACTCAGTATTGGAGAGAACTTAATCCCAACTAGCACCATAAAAATATTCTACGCTTATTTTATGTTTAAAACTGATCTATTGTGGTAAATAAAAAAATGATGAAAAACTTGAAAACTGTTTATTTAGTATTTAATGCTGATTTTAATCTAATAAGATTATTGAATAGGCAAAGCCTGACTTCTCTATAAAGTGTTCACTGCTCGATTGATTTCTCTTCCTTTCGGTCTTCCAATCTGTATTGCTATTTTCAATTTGAGGTCTTCAAAACTGTCATATGCTCCCTGTGCATACACTTTTATTTCCTTGTAATTATGGTTCCAACAACAAACGCATGGCCAACTAAATGACATCGCTGCATTTAGGACTAAAAAATACATCTAAATGTAACTAAGAATTCGTACCTGTCCATCGTAGAGTTACAGTTATTACTAAACAGGCCAAGAGAAAAACCGGGAAAATATTTTCAGGCCTCTGAAATGAACGCTAGGGTGCGTGACTGCAATCTTGAATCTAAAATAGTAATGTTTCTGTGAATTCCGCTATGTTAACGTAACAAAAAAATACCTGATTTTCAAAGTCAAGGATAATGTGAACTTTTTATGTTTTCCCAATTTTTGCTGTTTCTCTAAAAATGAAGTAGTGGGGGGTATTCAAAGGTTAAAGAACACCCTGTACCTTCGAAACGTGAGCTGATTCTAACAAACTTGGGCTAGTTTAGAAGAGCTATTCTTGGGCTACAAATGTTATAATATATTTGATGTTTTGTTAGTGTCACATTTGGCCGCTAGAGGGCTTTATTCGATATTCCTACAGAAATGGTTAATTTAATCAAAGGAATTAAATGCATTGGTATTATTTTTTTTTAATAAGTAGCTAAATGATGTCTAAACAAGCTCGAGAAAAACCGCATCTCGATATCTTTTTCCTAACCTAAAATTTAGGCCAAGGAAAATTCTATAGGTACGGAAAACCCTTAAATCTTTATTTTCTAAACTAATTTTTCGGGAAATCTTTCTTATTCTTCAGAATAAAATCACCCTGTTTGAAAATATTGCTAAAAGGTAAGTAAGTAATGCTAATAACAAAGGGAATATTTTTTGTTTAAATGCATATTCACTCTGTAGGTATACACGAAATAAACAATTAATGGAAGCAGCCTCATCAATAGTTTCGTGTTACTTTTAGCAATTTTTGTGCTTACCATGCGTTCTATAAACGATGAAGCTGTTGATATGCTTGCATTATTTTGAATGTCTTCAAAATGCCGCAGTGAAAATTAGCCATTTCTGTCGGAATTCCGAAAAAGCTCTCTAGCGGCCACATGTGAAACTAACAAAACTTCAAATATAACATTTGTAGCCCAAGAACAGCTCTTTTCAAATAGCCCAAGATACAGGATGTTTTTTTACGGGAACTTCTGAATAGCCCCCACCACTTTATTTTTAGAGATACAGTGAAAATGGTCAAACAAAAAAGGTTCAGATTATCTTCGAATTTTCAGATCAGGTATTTTTTGTTAGGCTAATTAATATGCAATTTGCAATTTATTTCGAAATCTCATCTCGAATGAGGTAGGAAAAAATAAAAATAATTTGACGATAAATCTGTAAATAAAATAAATAACTATCTCATAACTTCAACTTAGGACCTACATTTTTGGAATCAGAATTAAAAACTCCCTTTGCCTGTGCAAAAATCCAATACGGCATCCTTAAGAAAAAATAAAGTTAATGGGAAAGAGACGAAACGTCGTATTGAAATTATAATTATGCCATCTTGTAGAGAAGAAACGTGGCAATGTTAATGAGCAATTTTATTTGAAGTCTTCCTACAAATAAAAACAGGAAAATATTAAAACGATTTTAGGAAAATTCGGTTTCTCCGTCTTTCTCTGGAAGTACTTTGAACCTCGGAACTTCCTAAGCGACGTTTTGTTAGTTAACTAAGTACGCAACTTTATCATCACTTAAGTTACTCGTATCTCGTACTGTTTCCGAGATCTCGATGGTGGGAGTCGATTTTGAAACATATAATACATATGTTAACATAAAGGTAATTTATATATTTTAAAAGTATAGATGTTTATTTTAAAACAGCGTGTTTAAAATATAATTAAAATGGTTTTAAAAAAGCCTACAGAGCTGTTTTAAAAGCAGCTGTTCAAGATAAGTTTTATGAAAGTTTTTATTTTTTGTTTTATTCACCGCTTTTAGTGTGTTCCCTTTTATGCTCAGGGTGAGTTTCTTTCAACCTTACGGCTTATTTTAGAACTAAGGAATTGGTTTTAATTGCAGTTTCATCTCGAAGTCTTAATGCACCATAAACCTTCCAGTACTCGCGCGGGGTATCCAAATACCGCACTAGTAATATCTCTATCTATACTGGAGTGGGGTAAATAACGATCGGCATATAGTTTCGTCTATTCCTCGAGTGTAGTATATGCAGGCTGGTGTTAAGAGTTGACTGCAGTCGAGATCACGTGGTGCGTAAGCTACGAGTCGAAATTTGATTGGGGTATTTAGATACCCCTCGCGAGCATCGGAGTAACAAGGAAGTAAGGGTATTTTTGTTTGTTTTTTGAGGTTTTTTGCAATTTATTGGTGTTATTGCAGGTAAAAATATGGCAAATTTATCAAGTAGAGACCCACAGCAATGGCTGAAATGGTATAATGAAATGCTTGACAGTGACGACGAAGATGATCCATCGGAGCAAGAAACAGATAACTTGGAAGTACAAGGTGAATGTTCAGATACGGAGCAAGAGTCTGAAGAGGGAGCTGATATTTCGAATATAACTGAAGAAGATTCTGTAAAAAACGGTGGTCCATATTTTTTGGGAAAGGATAAAGGAACTAAATGGAGTAAAAACAAACCACCAACGTCAAGAACAAAGGCTCATAATCTTATATTGAAAGTTCCAGGGCCAGTAGGCAACGCAAAAAACGGCAAATCCTCGATGGACTGTCTTAGCCAATTTATTGATGATTCAATGATTGAAATCGTTGTGAAATGTACCAATCTATACATTGCAAAGATTCAAGCAAATAGATTGACTGACGTATGTGAGATAAGATCTTTTATAGGAATACTTTATTTGGCGGGATCTTTGAAATCTGGGAGGCAGAATATTCGGACATTATGGAACACAAATGGCAATGGAATTGAAAACATATATATAACAATGAGTTATAATCGCTTCAGATTCCTGTGTAGAAGTATCAGATTTGATGATGTAAATACTAGGGAAGATCGACGTATGTATGACAAACTGGCATCGATTAGGGAGATTTTTCAGCGATTTGTGAACAATTGCCAGTCTTCAGTGATACCAATCGCTTTTCTAACCATCGATGAACAACTGGTTGCCTTTCGAGGAAAATGCGCCTTCAGGCAATATATACCTAATAAGCCCAGCAAATATGGAATCAAAATATTTGCATTGGTCGATGTCAAAGCCATGTATATATACAGGTTAGAAATATATGCAGGTAAACAACCGAACGGGCCGTATGGTTTGAGTAACAGTCCTGGAGATGTCGTAAAAAGGTTAGTTGAGCCTCTAAAAGGTACAGGTCGTAACATTACAATGGATAATTGGTTTTCCAGTGTACCTCTTGCTAGGGACTTATTGAAAGATAAATTGACTATGGTTGGTACGCTCAGGAAAAATAAAAGAGAGATTCCATTAGAATTCACCAGACTGCTTCTAGACCAGAACAGAGTAGTATGTTTGCCTTTCAATCAGATCTTACCTTGCTGTCTTACTTTTCAAAAAAAGGCAAAAATGTATTGCTGATTTCATCATTGCACCACGATGACGAGGTTGATAGGGAATGCTTGAAACCTGAAATAATCCTGGAATAAAACAGAACTAAATCTGGAGTGGATGTCGTAGACAAACTTTGTGCCCAGTATGACGTGGCTAGAAATAGCCGACGTTGGCCTCTGACAGTTATCTTTGACATTCTAAATATTGCTGGTATCAACGCACTTTGTCTATTTGCTATGAACAATAATTTTGAAAAACCAAACAGAGAACATTTCCTGCAAGAGTTAGCTGCAGAGTTAGTACGGCCACAAATAATGAAAAGAATATATATGGATAATATCCCAAGAAATATAAAGAAAAGGGCTATCGCTTTACTGAACATTGAGGAAACTAGTCTAGCAACAGACAAGGCTACTTACTACAAAGAAACAGAAACTTGGAAAGGGTAGGTGCTATTTATGTCCCAGATCAGCTGATAGAAAAACGCCAATTAGGTACATGCGTAAAATGTGTTGAGTGGATATGTAAAATTCATCAGAATTACGTATGCCGTAATTGCCTTGATAGCAGAGAAATAGAAACCAATTGTGACAGCGAATAGATGCTTTTGCCACATTATACCTTCAGAGACCTGATTTGTTAGTTAGGATTTTATATAAATATTATGTTAGCATTTCTTTCGTAAGTGAATATTTTTTGTTCTGTTATAAAAGCATTTAGAAAAATTGTGTGAATATATTTTTCAAAGAAAAGCTCCAACTATTGTTTTATTTAAATTAAAAAAACACAAAAACAGGTTGGGGTACCTCAGTACCCCACGCGAGTACCTACGTGATTTTCCCCGCGCGAGTACTGGAAGGTTAAGATACTTAATACACCCGTTCGATGCTACTCGCGAATGTTGCCCTGAAATCATGTATCCGAATGCTTCAACGTATTCTACAAAATTTTAAAGCTCTTGCTCGCATGATATATGAACATGGTTTGAGGCTACATCTCATTACAAGTTGTTACTCCAATTACACATACCTACATACCCACTTTAACTTGCATAAAGATGATGCTGGGTAGGTGATTATTCTGAAAGAATGACTGTGGGATTCATTATCGTTTGAAATATGTTGCTGGATAACATACTTCGATAGCCTAGGCGTACTAGAAATATATCTCATGTATTTTCCCTGTTCATTATATTTTCAGATAAGTTTCATTAATTTTGAATGTTGATCGGAGAATCATTAATTTTACATAGCAACTGGGTAAAAATGAAATGCAATGTTAACCGGTAGACCAAAGATATGCAGAAATATGAGTATTTTTAGCACGCTTATCTTAGCTTGGCCTGTATAATTATAATAAAATTTAGGTTATTAGTAGAATAATTCAATTCAGAATAAAAAGCGTGTGGTGCTTGATATATTAAATGTTATAATCATTCAATTAGCAACTATCTATGAGAGGAGAGTTAAGAAAACGTAGTAAAATGCACCCAGTCTGATGAATTTGTATGAGAGTCAAGAGCCGATGACAAAAAATCGAATTTGGGGATTTAAAAAAAATTTAAAAAAAATTGCATATGGACCCTTGGAAAAAAATTGGAAAATTCGAAAACCTGGAAAATAATTTGAAGATTTTGAAATTTTAAAAAATGAAAAATTTGAAAAAAATTGAAATTCTGGAAAAAATTTGGAATTTGAAATAAAATTTGATATTTGAAGTTGAGAAAACAATGAGGGATTCATGTAAAAAAATCATGATTTGGAAAAAAAATTGTTCAAAAAATCATAAATACTTTTGTTATAGTTTTGTGAGTAAAATTTTGTAAATAGCAACTAAACAAATAATTCTAACATTCAATATCAAGCACCCTACGCTCTTTACTATAAGTGATTGTATTGTTAATATCTTCATTTTTATATTGACCCTATTCCAAATTAATTAGTCATATTTGATTGATCGACTTTCTATTGCAGCCACACAAACTATATTTGAAAATTCCTTTCTAGTTGGATTTGCTATTAAAGCGTGTTTTTTAGTTTTTTAAACTATACTTATATCAATATCTTTTATATTGCATACTACAAGTGGACTTGACATAAATTAATTGTTTGTAATTTTTTGTATGTTTCTAAAAAGTGCGAGATAATTGTGGTGTTGACAATTCCAGCACATGGAATTCCTTGAATAATTTGCAAAGAGCGGCACCTGCTTAATGGAGGTAGATCGTTCCAGCGGTAAGTAAGTTACTATGTCGATAAAGCGTTCTTACTTTGGTAGGCAATGGAAGTCAGATGAGACGAAGGTGTGGACTAAAACCATAAAATTTTGGTGACAAACAATGCAGTTGTAAACGTATAAGCTTGGATCCTTCTAACCCATTCGAATTCGTAGAGCTATGTGACTTATGGTACCTACTTCGATGTTCAATTTGGCTGCGGGTATGATTCAAAAGCTATTCAAATGTTCATCAGATCGAGCCTGAAGAAAAATCATGTTGGAAGAAAATCACCGTTTTTACTGTCTAAAGACTAATTTGTTACCTTAACACTAACTTAAAACACTTTAAACTAATTCAAAACTATATCGACAGGACCATTATTCCATCTCAATTCCGCACTGTTGACTCTCTCGACTGCGACTGACTCTTCCCTCATTTGTTCGGGTATTTATTTCCCTATCGACGGATCGAGAAACATTCTAGCATGTTTTGCCTAGTGACGCATTTCCATGGATGTAGTGCAGCAGATTCATTTCAAGACGTATCGAACATTTGTGGTGGCGTCGCGAACGGTCCAGAACGCGGCCACGCTGCATCATGTTCTGGATGATTGAGCCGCAATCCCACTTTTGGACACCTGCCGAATTTTTTAGTTGATGTACGAGGTTGTCTCTCACTGGCACCCAGAGCTGCAGTTATACGAGGGCGTTACAATATCTTCAGACTGTATTACGGTATTGACTGAAAATTATGTAGGCATATGCAGTAATAGCATTGTGAGCAAACATGTATAAATTACTTGTTTTTCCAAATTTTTTAAGAAGATTTAGTAGGCCAAAGAACAATAAATTCTCTCAAATTCCAGGTCTAGCGCATGGAAACTAACTTTAAATTTTACTTCAATTAAGGTTATGTTTACGACAGCAAGCCATGTAATTCTCTGTTCATACAGAACTGTACAATAGTGTACATACCTTGGGCATTCGCAAAAAATTATTCGGAATAATTTCTAAACTAGCTCGGAATTGCTTGTTGGAACAAACCCATGAAACTCACCCGCGAGCCAATTCCATATCCTTTGTATTAGAGCGTTTTCTTTTGAATACTTTGAATATTTTTCTAGAACGTTTTTTGTGTTATGGATTTTATATAATGATTTTAGTATTATACAGAATATTTTATTTATATTTTGATGTTTTGCCAATACAATTTAATGAAGTATATCATTATAGACAGAATAAATTATAAATTTATCGCTTTTGAAAAATTAAAAATAAATAAGTGAAAGGTTGAAATGAAGTATGTCATTATAGACAGAATAAATTATAAAGTTATCACTTTTGAAAGATTGACAATAAACACGCGAAAGGTTCATAATAACTTAAGACTTAATCATTGAAAATGAGCTTGTAGATTTTCAAACTGAAATAAAGGGACTTACTTGTTTATTGAAGTAAATTGGATTCAAGTAACAGTTTTGTACATCACTGACATAATATTTACTTATATCAACATTTTATATATAAACATTTATATTATATTAAATTTTTATATAGAAGAAGGATGGAGAGCAAGATTCAGTTTGTATGGGTAGGTGTTAAGATTATTGGTATGCATTTTTATTGAGTTTATTTTACAATTTTCATCATCTTTTTACTCCCAATACTGGAGTTTTCTTTTATATCTCTATTTAACATCCATATTAATACATTTTAGTTACATATAAAAAATATATCACTAGCATCTGCACTTACGCTAACTAGATTGGCTAAATCCATTACCCATTTTGAATAATTTTTTGTCCATTTTAATGACCGTATATTGCAATCGTCGAAAACATTGTCCAGTCCATTGAAATTATTAAAGTGTTGCTAATAACTCTTCAGGCTTCATTATTCGCACACTTAGGGCCAATTTCACCAACAACAGTCTGTTATTCTCCACCTATAGGGTAACAGACCGTCAGATACAGCGAATGAGCTTCAAGTTCCAATCAACAAATTTTAGCAACCAATAGCTATGAAATGTTGAAAACAAAATACTGTCAAAGTATGAGATGACAACTTGTCATTGAAACATCACCAGCTTATTGAATATTGAGAATTTACATATAATTCAGTCAAAATTTTAAGAAATGTTTGATTTTTGAATTAAATTCATGTTTTAAATACTATTGTTGATTTTTTATTCATGTTTATATTATTTTCTTCAGTTGATATGCGATACTGGGTGTTTTTTCCTATAAACCTCCCCCAGATAGCCATTAAGCACCTACTTGATGACAGGCTCTACCAAAAGATATTGCTCGTTCCCAAACATTCATTCATTTACTTGCCGTTCATCAGAACCATTATGTCACCTTAGATTGAAATTCCCACAAAACCATTCAGGTTTTTTTATATCCATACATCCATAAAGTTGAATATTTTTCGTTGTTCAGGAACTGGACAAACATCCACACTATATTCACAGCGATTAAGAAATTCCCAAATATATGCCTTAAAGCTACCAGCAACCTAAAACCTGCAAAAAAATTACAAATTTTTCTTTATTCACGAGTACACATTCTAGGTTACATTTATATTAGACATTATTTGAATACAGCTGATTATTGCATTTCAAGGAGTGACACATGTGTGGGATCTGTCAACTCTTGGTACCAGTCACAAAACATAATATACTCTGAAGGTTTAATTCCATGCTATTCAATTGCAACACGGTGACTTGTGTGGTTGTCAGCGGCCATTTTGTGAGGGTGTGACAGGGTTGCCAGATTGTGCATTAATATCCCGTTTCACCCTCCTGGTCCCAGTGGAGTAAGTTCCGCCAACTGTTGAAATATACTCTACTATGCTTTCTAGGACTATTCGTGACATTTTTCCCAAAATCATTGCACAACACTTGAAAAAATGCAAATGAAAATTTCCATGACGCCGCAATATAGCTTCGTCGGTACCTTGGGTTATACATCTTGACAGTAGGGATGTTCGATACGATCCTATATTTAGAAGTATCAATACATTTCACGAGTATCGTCATCTCTCGATCCGGACTGTGTCAGAAAGAGTGACTGCCATTTGGCTGCGACATTGCCCTGCCAAATCAGACATATCTTTCATCATTTTCAATGAAATTGTACAAAATCTTCAAATTTGTGAAGTTAGCGAGTTTCACTTCATACGTTGTTACCATACATGCCCAAATCATCAGTT